CTCACTTCTTTCCTCTGAACTTGTGGAGGTTAAGATTCAAGACCCCCAAGGGAAGTCTGAAGCCCCAGGTAGTACTGAACCCAATATAAAGATGATTTTCCTCTATATACACACCTATAATAAAGTTTAATTTATAAATTAGGCACAGTAAGAGTTTAACAATAACAATAAAATGGAACAATTAAAACAATGTGCTGCAATAAAATTGATGTGTCTGTGGTCTCTCTCTTTGAAAATATCTTTTATATCATTTTTTCAGGTGATAATTGACCATGGGTAACTGAAATCATGGAAAGTGACTCTACAGATAAGAAGGAACAACTGTGTATTCCTTCAACGAATTCCCATAGTATCTATATCCTTTTTTGTGCATACCATGAGAACTCTTTTCCTTTTATTATATATTTTTTAATGCCAGTGTCTCTAACTCCATTGTAGCTTTGTGTGTATGCAAAGGCTCCTCTGTGTCCCTTTGTACCTGATAGCCTGGCTCTGTGCCTCACATAGAGCAAACATTACATATGTTTTTATTAATGAAGATCTTTGGGCATAAAATTCATGTTATTTTTAGGCCCCATCTCTCTCTTTTTAGCAATTTCTTTCCCCTTTTTATTCTTTTTCCCCCCAAGAAAACTGCGAACCTATATGCTCTATACTGGCTAATTCAGGTACTGAAGGAAATTATTATTTCCAGTGTTTTAGACATTTTTATTGTATCTGCACGTGCCTGTTATTATTGAAAATATCAGTGTCTAGGAAGGAGAAAATTTGGTTTCCATTTGTGTGTTTTGTTGCTTTATATATTAAGTATGAAAAATAACAACTGGTCTGAAATTCTGTTTCTTTATCTGTAAAATGCAATGATGTTGCTTATTCTGACTAGCATCTAGAGTTACTGTGAAGATAGGCACAAGAATTAATGTACACAAATGACTGCATGTATGCTTGGTCTGATTTCCTTAGGAATGCATCAAGATTACTGACCTGTTGATAAAGGAAGCCACAGGGTAACTTAGAGCGTTACCTATCTTTGTTATCATTGAATTTAGAAGGGATTTCTGAACACATAAAATCTCAATTCATAAAAATGGCACTAAAGATATAAGAAAAGTTATTTGGGAAAAGAAAGTGCCAATTTTTTTATCTTAAGTTAATAATCATAATTCAATTCAAGTATTTGTTGAATGTCTTATTAAGCACAAAACAGCCTCCCGGGTGCTATGGGAGTATAAAGATGAACAGGGCACTTATTCTTCTGTCTTCAAAAAGGGAGAGCATGGTTAGTAGGAGATCTGTCCGTACCCAGTGAGCACTAATACCAGGTAAGTTTGGTAAAATCAGTGGAAGAACCAACATCAGAAGAGATGAGACTAATTCTCACTATATCTGAAAGGTTTTATGTAGGACATGCCTTCAATTAAGGTACTTAAAAGTTAGAGATTTTCAGTAAATTGAGATGAAGAGGATGCTGAAAAAAGAAAGCGAGAATAACAGCCTGAGTAAGACACACACCAAAATAGAGAATATTCTGGTAACAGCAAATAAAATTTATCTCAATTTCTTGAATTTGTAGAGTGTCTTATAGCTTCAAAATGTGTTCATATATCATATTATTTGGAAGTTGATCAGGTTCATAGCAAAAGTATATTTTATTTTACATATGAGGAAAATTAGTTGTAGAGAAAATGAATGACTTTTATAAAGTCCTCAATTAATAAATAGTGCTTAAGAAGTAATCTTACTTTAAAAGATTACTCTGTGAAAGGAAAATTAGAGAGGATGGTAAGTAGGATGCCTTATTTGCTTATTTTTTATTTAGAAATAGATGACAGTTGCTAACAGTAGTTAGAACAGTCTAGGGGCCTCCCTGGTGGCACAAGGAGTAAAGTACCACACTATGAAGCAATCTGCAACCTCTGCAGCTCAACTTCGATCCCCCACCAGCCAGGGAGCAACCCACATGGCGCAGCCAACCTTTCCTCTTTCCCCGCTGCTCCCCTCAGCAGTGTATTTCAGTTGGTCTGCCTGTTCTATTCCCCACCCTGTCTCTGGTGAATCCTCTCACCCCCCCCCACCCCGCACCTCTGGCCTGTACCCCAGCTCTTGTATGCATAAATAAATAAATCTTAAAAAAAAAAAAGGACAATGCCCAAAGTGTATACCAGGGTAGGTTTGCTTGCACTGGAGAGGGATTCTTTTTATAGACAATATAGTTACACAACGCATGTGACTTTGCTCTTAATTGGATAGAAGGATTCGAGAGAAGTACCAAAAGACTCACGGGCTAGTTATTATACATGAGCAAAATCTGGCTTGGCCTTTGGATCACATCAATGTAGTCTCTAAATGTCTTTAGTGTTACTCTCAATTCCTACTCAGCTCCCCAGGGGATAGTAAGCCTAGTTCTAATTAAAGATTATATTTAAGCCAAATGTGCTCCAGTCTGTAACACCTAAAGAGAAATGAGAAATCCATGAGGCATAAATAAAATTAATGAAGACGATGATTGTTTTAAAATATATTCACAAACTATCTGATTCACAAACTGCCTTCACAAACTGCCTTCAGGAGACAAAACTTAACTCCCTAATCCACCTCCTTGCTATGGGATGTACTTAATGGCTGACTTCTAATGAATGGATGTCCTGATGGTGTGGTTATGTGACTTAGACACTAGGTAATAAAGCGTGTTATAGCTTTCTCCTTCTCTCTGCCATTACAAGCTCTAAAAGAATGCAGCTGCCGTGTCATGACAACAGCCAAGAAGCCTAAGAGGAATCGATGTTACTGCCACCAGCCACGCAAATAAGCCATCTCAGAAGTGGATTCCTAGCTACAATCAGGCCATTTGATGTCTGCAGCACTGGCCAATACCACTATCTGCAATGTTGAGAAATACTGAGCCAGAACCATCCAGTCAAGGCACTGCCAAATTCCTGACCTATAGAAATTTCGGGAATAACAAATGGGACAATGGGCTACATAGCACTAAATAATAGGATAGACCTAAAGGACTTTCTTCCATCAAAGGGCAGAGGTTATTACTGAATTTGGGTTGTAGAGACAGATTCTTTAACTATTTTGTGACTTGACTTAGAATGGTAAACAATTAAAAGGGGGTATAAAGTATGAAGAATCCTAAATATGATTCTGTTAACATTTGACAAGAAATAAGAACATTTGAGAGTCTTTGAGTCTGGGTAACTGAAAGAGAGATTCTTGAAACAGTGGGGAAAATGTTGAGAATCATGTCCCAGGCATGTCCTGGCAAACACAGGCATGTCCAGTAGACGCACTGCCTACAGGAAAGGAAGCAAGCTGGCCAGCTGGACTTTGGCAGGGCTGTAACTTGACCAGGCACTGGTCAGCTAATTTTTCACCTGATTTGCATGTTATTTGACCAATCAAAACTCAACTGATTTCTAGTCCAATTGTCCTAATGGACCACCTGTTCTCTTGGTGGAGTCTAATCTTAATTTGTGTACCTGGCCAGAGCGAGAACTGTCCTTTCGTTTGCTGTGTGAATATCAGACCTTCCCCATCCAGGCAATCTGAAAAACAATTTAAGGACTTGTGGAATTTGTTTCCCAGGTCCTAATTAAACCCCCAATAAATCCTTACATTTTGTTTCAAACAGGTCTCATTCATCCTCTCAGGGCACTTTTGACCACTAATGTCTCCCCACATAGAAAAAGATTTCATACTTTTCAAATTTTTGAATTCAAATCTTTAGTATAGTCTAAGTCTCTCTCTCTCTGTGTGTGTGTGTGTGTGTGTGTGTGTACTGGTTTAACTATAGTACAGTGATATGTTTATTATATCACTTATAAATTGTCCTGTTTTAGGGCCTCCCTGGTGGCACAAGGGGTTAAGTACCGCACTATGAAGCAATCTGCTGGCTCTGCAGCATGAGTTCCATCCCCAGTCAGGGAGCTACCCACATGACACAGCAGACCTTTCCTGTCTCGCCTGCTGCTCCCCTCAGCAGTGTATTTCAGTCAATGCACCTGTTCTGTTCCCCACTGTCTCTAGTGAATCCCCTCACCCCCGACACCTCTGGCTTGTACCCCAGCTCTTGTATGCATAAATAAATAAATCTTAAAAAAAACTGTCCTGTTTTAATGTGCTAATTTTAATTTTAAAAAAGCAATTCCTTCTTCCTCATTACTTGCACCATTATCAGCATCACATTTGTCTGTGTGCATCTTTGTGTAAATTTGAACCATGCATTGCTCTCAAACGCAGAGTCCTGCCTCTTACACAGAAATTTCTAGCAGCTTTCATCTCAGGCACCCCATAACAGACGGGTGCATGAACTGGGGTTCAGCGACTGCAGCCACCAAAACATGAAGGGGTATTTCATACAGTCACTAAAATAAACTGGACCTAAAAAACATGCTACACTTACAGCTGAAAAAATAAAAGCTGCTGGTCCTCAATACCCTCCCCTGACTCCCTTTCTCCCACTCACATCCCACCAGGACACAGGAAAACTAGAGGCCCTGGGGGGTGCGGGGGGTCAGGCCCCACCTGGGGTGTGGGCAGAGGAGGATGAGGGCGTGAAATGTGCGTCTATGGGGTATCTCAAGGGCAAGGGCAAACGCCAAGAAAATCAAGTTGGAAGCCCCAACTGCCTCTGTTCCTACAGCTCAGCCATTTGGGGCAGGCTCCACTCACCAGCACCAGAGTTTTGTCACTTAAAATTCCATGTCCAAATCGGGGGGGGGGGGGGGGGGGGGAGCCACTGCGCTTGCGCGGCAGCGACGGGGCGGGGTCTGGCTGCGCCCGACGGGGACCTGGGCGGGGCCCGGGGCGGGGCTACGTTGGCCCTGGGCGGGGCCTGACCGTGACATGGGCGGGGCTACGTTGGCCCTGGTGGGACCTGGGCGGGGCCCGAGCGGACATGGGCGGGGCTGGGCGGGGCCCTGGGCGGGGCAGGGGCGGGGCCTGGGCGGGCCGGACGCGCGCGGGAGATTTGAACTTCCTCTCCAGGACGCGCGGTCCAGCGCGCAGTTCTGCTGCAGGCTAGAGCTCCCCTCCGCACCCAGCGCTCGTGTGCAATATGGTGGAAGGACCGGGCTGTACTCTAAATGGAGAGAAAATTCGGGCGCGGGTGCTCCCGGGCCAGGCGGTGACAGCCGTGCGGGCGAGGTCTCTGCAGAGCCCGCGCAGCCCAGGGTTGCCTCCTGCAGCCGCGGCCACTGTGCTCTCGTCCCAGGTGAGCTGCGCCCATCACAGGGAGAACCAGAATAAAGGCCCCGTGGGGTCTCCTGGGTCCAGACTCATGTCTTTGCTGGAGCCCATGTTCCCCAGTCCCATCCCCCAGCTTCCCTAACCCCAGCTTTTCCCAAAGTTTACCTGGACTTTTCTGGAGGGCAGGCAACTTGGGGTGGGGTGGGGGTGGGGGGGAACTTCTGGAGCGCTGGGCTAAGGCAGAGATGGCCAGATGGGAAATGATGTTTTATTCTGTGCCACCTTGCCTAAAGCCTTTACACCCAGCAAAAGATGGTTACCAATGTATATAGGTGCATTTTTTTGCTGTTAATATTATCAGCTGTCTGCAACCTCTGACATGTTTTCTTCTCATTTTTAAGACAATACTTTTCTAGCATGAAATTCTAGCTGCTCACTTGCTTAATAGTTTGCAGCTGATAAATGCTTAACAACGAACATGTAACTCTAAAATTGCACCTAGAAAGTTTCGCGCAAAACTTCCCACTCAACTTAATCTTGCCTTCTAATGAAGGGGCAGTGGAACCCACTTCTGATTGCCTTAAGTCAGTTTATTTCTTTTTAAAGTAAATTGTAACACAGCTTCTTGCCACTCAGGCATTCATTGCAGATGGTGTGATATTCATTTGGTAAGAATTTAGAACTTGTACTAAAAATATTCTGATTAAGCCACCATGCGTTAAAAGGCTTTTAGATGTGTGGGAGATTGTATTTCGTGGATGCATGTAAAATTGTGCGGTGCTTCAATTTCTCCTACAAAGCTTTCTCATAGCCTTTGGTCCTGGAAGAAAAAGTTGCCTGCCGTGAAATTAGCCTATGCATATAGCATGAAAGAAATTAAGGTCTAAGTCTGAGAAAATACATTTCAAACTTGTAGAAAGAACAAGTTTTGCATCTCCTTCCAGAAGGAGGGCAATTTAATTGCCCTTAAATTTTATTTACTTTGACTTTATATGTCAGTAAGTACTCTGCACCTATTCTTTTATTGTAAGTGTTTCTCAGAATCATCTCAGGGCCACACAGAGGTGGGTTTTGAGTGGTTTCTTAAGAAAATTAATGTTTATAAAAATCACTTTTCAACAAAACTTTGAATTCTCAAGCCACTGGAGGAGTGAAAACAAATGCTTGCCCTTGTACAGTCTGTTCTTTAATTGAGAAGATTCAAGAGACATTGTTAGAGAATAACATAAAGAAATATAAATTGACAGTTCCCTGAAGGACAGATACATGGTTCAATAAGGACTTATAAGAAGGTGAGGGATGCTTCGCTGGAAGAATAACAATGAAACTCAGGTATAAAGGTGGGTAGGAGATATACAGCCTGAATGGAGGGTTGACAGGCAGAGCACTTTCCGCAAAGGAAGAGCTTCCAACACAGAAGGGGTTGAAAGAAAAATTGTGGCTGGAAAAGGGAGAATGTGACAGGAGGTGATTTGAAATAAGACTTTATGTTAGGGGTAAAGGAGATCTTTGAAGTGTAACAAGATCCACTTATGATTTGAGATGTTCCCTTAACCTGGAACAAGAAAAAAAAAAAAACTAGAAGAAAACCAGAGTCAATAGTGTACCCTCATTTAGGAGATGACTTTAGTCATCCAGGAGAGAAGTGCTGGTGGGAGGAATCAAGAGATAGCATCAGAAGTAAAGGCAACAGGGCATGCTGATAGATGGGACATGAATATATTTATTGTTATCATAATTCTAATACTCAATAGTAATGTCTTTTGTGTTAGGCTTTATGCTAGCTCCTGGGGATATGAAGATGAATAAGATAAAAGTTCCTGCTGTGAGAAACCAACTAAATGTTTTAAAATAATTTCACCTCATAGATATTTAGGCCAAAATAGCATGAACATTTCCTTTTAAATTGTTGTGATCAGCTTTCACGGCGTGGCATAAAGAGTTTTTGAAGAACTTTTACATTCCATTTAGTTATGAGAAATAATGAGCTTATGATAAATGATTAGCCTGAGTCTATAGATGAGGAATGTGAGGCTCAGAGAGGGTTTAAATAAATTACAGAACTATTAAGGGGTTGAAGCAGGCTTTCAGCCCCAAAGCCTCCACTCTTAACCGAGCTATAGCTTCTCAGTGCTAAAAGATTCAAAAATAAAGTGGCTAATACAATGGTATTGCTCAGTATGTAGTCATGATTATTTGTTGACTTGAGAGATGAGACTTTCAGTTTGGGCTGTGTCTGCCACCATTTTTAGTTTTGCTCGAGTCGGTCAATTCTCTTACCTACTTTTGATAATTATCTTCTAATGAACAGCTTCCATTATTCCCAAGTTCAAATCGTACAAAAGAGTGCAGGCTGGTAATATAATACAGATGCTTCGCTAATGGTTATGCAATTATTAACATCACATATAAGCAATACTCTGAGCCTTCCCCCACAAATTAAAAAGCCCTGTACTTGAAGCTATTATGTTTGATACCTTGACAGAGATACTAAAAATTGGAATAGGCCTTTGTAATTAGGTTCATGAATCTGGGTCTTTGGAAACTGAATTTGAACATCAATATAGAGTTTATAAAGCTGTGTGTTCTAGCTCTTTTTCCAGGAAGGGAGCATGTGTGTATTTAAATTGCATCCCGATACTTGTTGTAAGTTTGGCAAATGGTACCAATGTCAGATGTGTGAGAGAGGACCTAGAAACTAGAGGAATATGTATTTTAGTTTTTAAAGATGAGTATCTTGAAGAAAGAATGTACAGAGAACAAATGATAGACGTCTCAGGAAATCAGTGGACTATTGTATGCCTGAATTCAAATTTAGATTCTGCTGCTTACTGTCAACCTCCTTTTTCTTACCTGTAAAATGAGGACAGTGATGATGATTAGAAGAAATAGAGTATATAGAGCACTTGCTCAGTGCTCAAGAACTATTAGTTTCCTTTTCAAAATATTAAATATTTCTGCTAAATATTTAAAGAAATATTAGCAAACATTTATTAAAGACAAATATTTTGCCCTGGTTTCACTTTCTGGGCCTTTATATAGAAAAGAAAACCCTTGAAAATTATGAAGGTTCTTTTGCATTTGAGAAAGATACTGGATCCATAGTAAATTTCATCAAAACCTATGTTGTCACAGACTTCTGGCTGATCATTATTGTAACAGATGATCCCATATTTCTTAGGCACTTATGCCTGAGAGTTAAAACTATTTAAATGTTTGTGCTACTGGCTTAAAATCATTAATTTTCATAAGACATGATTTAAAAATAATTTAATAACTACATAGTAAATTTTTTTAATTGAAGTAACATTGGTCTAGAATATGATAAAGATTGTTGTGTAAACTTACATATTAATATCTCCATATCGACATTATGCTCCTCACCAAAAGTCTAGTTACCTTGCACTTAATAGGAAAAAGAAATACAAAAGACAGTTAATAGAACATTAATTAGGCATTTAAAATAAAGGATTTAAACTTCAGATAATCATCATGCCAAAAAACCAACCCCCAAAAAAACTTCCTTTGTAGCTCTCCAGTAATGAACCGGTTACTTATTTTGCATACACCATCTCGCTTTGATCCAGTTAAAGTTTGTAGGGAACACACTCTAATGCATGTTTGCTCATTACTATTCATCCTCATTTTGAAGAAGCCAAGACATAGAAGTTTCTAGCACCTGCTTGTCATGTATGCACTGTATTATTTCTCTGAAGTTTGATCAACTGTTAGTCAGCATAAAATTATACAACTGTATAAGCATGTTGCATAAAACTCTGCTGGAGCTTGTAGAACCTTCTGGTAAGAAACAATATTGGAATATAAATGAACATGTCTGGTTAATGAGCTATGAAGTCAATCCTCCAATTTTAATTGTTGGGTGCAATATTTTAATGAAATATTTTAGTGAAATCAGTATTAATTGTTATGCAATATTTTTGTGAAATATTTTAGTGAAATCAGTAAGTAATCTGTATATGTTTTTAATCTCCCTTCATAAATGGGATCAGAAGCAGTTTATTTATAAACATTCATTTCATTTAAAGCATGATCCTCCAGTATTCCATCACTCCTTAAGATTTTATACATGTTTAAAATGCTAGCTACTCTTAACTCATCTGTATATGTCTTTCACTGTCTCAGGACAAAGTAGGCATTTAATAAATGTTTGAATAGATGCAGAAGAGCAAAGCTTCTAATACTCCAAAATGATTAAGTATGTAAAGTGAATTCTGTTCAGAAGCATTCATTATGAGTAGTTATATTTTTGTTGTATATGTTATATGAAAATTGCTACTACAAGAAAATAGTGAAGCAATATAAAAATTTTCCACCAACCTTTCCCTTCATACTGGGGGAAATAATAGCTCATTTTATTGTCATTATATGAGGAATAAACTAAATCACAGGGATTCATTTTCCAGCTAAATGAAGTTTATTCCTGTATACTCAAAGGGGTTTTAAGATGTTATAGGACATCCATTATCTCCATCCTTACCTTCTTAAATGGGTACTGATAATGGTTTCACCTTATTAACTCAGGATCATTAATATCAGCATTCAGCATTATACAGCATCATAGCACAAGCGCCACAGAAAACAGATGAGGAGTCTTATAGATGAGAAAACAATGGGAGGAGATTTTCTATGATGATGACTTTTAATCCTGCACTGAAATATTCAGTTCTGCAGAGAAAAGACGATCTGATCAGCTTGATTTTGCTTCCCAGCTCCTTTTCACTTCCTCATCTGGAGATTAAGATACTCACATCTTCACTGATGTGGTCAGGGTTAGGTTAACTTAGTGTCTAGCAAAGTAAACTTTGCAGTAATTGTTCCTTTTTCTCTCAGATCAGGAACACCTATTCCCTTGTGAAAGGTTTGTAATCACGTGGTGCCCTCAAATAACTACAGTGTTTAGCCTCTGGATAAGTGCTTGAAGGTTCTGCTCTTATAACATTAGACTATGTTTTGATGTATGGACCTAAAGACCTCTCTTTTGGTGCTTGGAGACCATTTGAAAAT